TGCAGCAACGAAGACCTGACACAGCCAAAAATAAATAAAATAAAATAAATTAATTAAAAACAAATAAAAACATTCCATGGGGGACTTCCCTGATGGTCCAGTGGTTAAGACTCTGCGCTCCCAATGCAGGGGGCCTGGGTTCAATCCCTGGTTGGGAACTAAGATCCCGCATGCCACACCAAGTAGCCAAAATAAAAAAATAAATAAATAAATAAATAAAAAAGCATTCCATGGAACCAAAGGCTGTCTCAGAGTTCAGAGCTGGGTGGTCAATATGCATTTGATGCTACTGCTGCCAGTGATGTTTGTGTGCGTGTGGTTTCTTTTCTTTTTTTAAAAAAAATTTTATTTATTTAATTCATTTGGATGTGCTGGGTCTTAGTTGCGGCATGTGTGATCTTCATTGCCACATGCGGGATCTAGTTCCCTGACCAGGGATTGAACCCAGGCCCCCGAGGTTGGGAGCACAGAAAACCACTGGGAAATCAGAGAAGTCCCTGAATGTGTGTTTCTAATCCTCTGAAAGGCATAATTTTAAACTAAGGGCTTTATCAGAGATCCCCGAACGCTCTCTGTTTACAGTAATCTTTGTGTCTCAGCAATTTTTTTCACGGTGCAACTAGGTCAAAACAAATAGCTAACAATTCTACTTAAGTAGTTAGGTCCAAACAACTTATTAAGTATTTATGTCCTAACTTAGTAGCTGTTGTATTATTTTGGAAAAAGAAAAGCCACATAGATGGAGAGAAAAAAATATTTTTATTTCATTGATCATCACAGTGACTTACTAATGGAGTGTGTGTGCCTGTTGGGCACTGCACAGCTTCTCAAACCTGGAATCAGATTGGACACCACTCCCCTCATTTCCTGTTCACGTTGATTTTGAGCAGTGTATGACAGATGTCCCGTATCACTGCATGTCCTTAAAAAACTAAACGATCCTACGGCAGCCCTGTGAACTTGCTGCAGGGCCCGGGGTGCCTCGGTGTATATGGTTTGGGAACCAAGTATATTTACCAGATTTCTGCTTCTCAGTCCACTGCATTGCATCCCTCAGTTTATTCAAAGCTATAGTTGAAGCTGCTCAGTTTCAGACCAAATAAAAGCACCAAAAAGAACTGCTAAGCCATTTAATGTTTTCACTTTGAGGACCATTTTAACAGTGCATTTTGAATGCTGCAAAACAATTACCAGGTCACTAGCAAGAAATTCTAAAAATAAACTCGACAATACCCAGGAATTGGTGAGCAGATGCACATCCTGGGGCTCTCTGGTTGTGATGTGAAGGATAAATCACAAGGGGAGGCCATGCCATCAGCTAGACTGGCCCCAGATGGATATAGGAACTGCGGCCGGGGTGGTAGGGATGGAGGACATTATAGGGGAGATGGTTATGAAGCTAAGTGAATAGGCCTCCGTCTACTGGATTGCTGGGCAGCCGACCCTCCCCACTAACCTCTAGGAAGTTCTCATCTTTCCCCCACACCTGGGCAGATGTTTCTATCCAGCCTTTCCACCCAGGCCTGAGGGGTGGAGGAAAGCGAGGACATCAGCACTGGGCCTCTTTGCCCTGCTTCCTCCTCTCCATCCTTCGCAGGGTGGAAGGGGAGGCTGTCACTCCTCCCACAAGGCAGGGCCTTCCCTGTCATACCCTGAGTCCTTTGTAGTATCAGGTGTGGCACATTTGGTTCTTACTTTGTTGATGATAGGTTAAGGGATTTAAAAAATCTTTTCCTTTGAGTAAATCCTGGCTTTCCAGACTGTTGACTTGCTGGGGACTCGTCAATCCTGTTTTGGGGTCAAAAGCTGAATGCTGACTTCTTTCCGTTTCTTCACCTCCTCATTTCAGACATGCTGCCCTTGCACTGTCCTGTTTTCTTCAGAGCACTGACTACTATCTGAAATTATCTGCTTTCTGTCTCCTCTCATTAGAATCTAGTGGTAGGGACTTCACTCATCTTGTCCAACAAGTGTCTGGAACATAAAAATTGTTCAAAAATATGCATGCAGTGAATGTATAATGTTTAAGGAATTTGCACAAGTGGGAATTCCCTGGTGGTCCAGTGGTTGGGACTCCGAGCTACCACTGTAGGGGGCATGGCTTTGATCCCTGGTTGGGGAACTAAGATCCTGCATGCTGCGAGGTGCAGCCAAAAAAAAAAAAAGAAGAATTTGTACAAGCATTTTCTCAATATATAATAGCTAAAAAAAAAAAAATCCCAAATCCACCAACAAACATTTTAGGGGCAAGGCAGCTGGAGGAAAATGAAGAGCCTGCAAAGGGGCAAGGAGCAGACACTCAGCAAAGGGGCTCCCAGAGTCCCAGCAGATAAAGCAAGAAGGACGGGATGGGGGCAGTGGCTCAGTGGAGTTCACTGATGCCTCGAAGGAGAGGAAGCCACGGGCCAGAGCCAGAGAGCCGTGGCTTGAGGAGTCAATGAGAGGTAGGGGCGTAGAGAGTGAGTGGAGACAACTCCGAGAGGTCTGAATCTGTAGAGAAAGAAAAGGAGGGAGCGGGAGCTGAAGGCCGTGTGGGATTGAAGGAAAGCCTCATTTATAAAAGCTTATTTTGTTTTTAGGGCAACTTGAACGTATTTTGTAGGCTGAGAGTTGAAGGATCCAGAGAAGGGAGGGCTTTCCTGATTTTTCTGAACTGCATGTAATCTCTTCTTCCTTTAAATGCCCACCTTGTCCTTCTCTTATGGCAGGCACTTATAATTGCTCAACTAGGGACAAAGCTCAGGAAAGGCAGGGCTGTGCCTCACACGACATCTTACTGATACACATAACAGGCCTGTAAGTGTGGCCTGAATGTGGCTAGATCCTCTTCGGTAGACTGTGATTCCTCCACCCCCTCGTGTCCAACCAGGGCCAGACTCAGTGCTTCCCCATGTGCTCCATCACAGAAGTCACTCAGCACACTGGCCAGTAACACAGATGGGAAGATGGACGAGACTGTTTATTCACATCACACAGGAAACCTTAACCAAAACTCTCTAAATAGAAATCTATGTTTGACAGATCCTCTAAGTTCTCCCAAGTCTTTCTCAAAGGCCATGCTGCCTGGGATTCTTCTGTCCTCTCCTATGAAGACTCTAAAGTTCCTCTTGATTGCCCTGAGCAACTGAAAACTTCCCCTCACTGGCACAGGGCAGAACTGGGACTACCCTTTGTTCCTTAAGCATGCTTGGAGATCTCAGTTTATCTTATGGCCACCAGTGTACACAGGTATGTCTCTAATATTCACTAAATGCCTCTACCAGTATTTCAAAATACGGTCCACAGAACACCTGTAGCAGAATCACCTGGGGTGCTTCCATAGGCAGATTTCTGGGACCCACACATACTGAGTCAGAATCTCTGGGTGTGGGCAGGTGCCATAGATGTTTGAGAACCAGTGGCTGTACACTGTGCCAGGCCTGATCTGTACGCTTCTCCTTCCAATAACATTTTGTGGCCTTTAATTTATCCACAAACCCTCCAGATTTTTAGGCATTTGGACCAGCACCCACCCTACAAGGGCTGACCTTAACCTACCTAGGGCCCTGGTCCCTGCAGCTCCCGTGTCCTCCCTCTCCTTTTGCCTGACTTCTTCCCTGGCCTGTACCACTTCCCTTCTCCTCCCACCATAGCATTCAGCGATCCTCCCCATCAGTTCAAATCCCACCTACGCTTGGAACCCCTTGATCAGTATTGTGCCTGAGGCACACGCTTCTTTTGTCTTGCTTGTTTCATGATAAAATGAGAAATTTTGCCTGAGCACATGTACCTGGAGAGATGGCAAGCTTCTAAGAACGACTGGACTATGATTCTTTTTGTTTTTCTCAGAGCGGCTAGCAAAGAAGTGTGTCCCTGACTGTTGGCTGGGTGAGTGAGTGGAGAAGGGCAGTGAAGGAGGTCTAAGCGGGTGGAGAAGCCTTCCCTGGGAAGTCCTTTCTCCATCAGAATGTGTCCAGGCCCCTGACAGCCTTCCCTCATGGGACTCTGGGGAGAAGATACAGTCCAGGAAAAGGGAAGGAGACAGGTTCACTCTGAGAAAAGACATGGCAGTTTTGGAAAGCAAAAGAAAAGCTTGATTCACTTTTACCTTGTTGGTTTTTTTTTTATCCAACCTTTGGTATTTAAAAATTAGCTTTTGAAGATAACAGATCTAATGTGAAGAATGGAGTCATCACTGAAAGATGGCGATAGTATACTAAAAATGTACTGCTTCTCCTCCCCACCCACATATGCAAACAGGCCCTTTGAGGTAACAGATGGAAGGAGAGCAGGAATCTAGAAGCAGGGGCTACACCAAGGAGAGCCCATCTCTCGGTGTATTTTCCCTCCTCTGGCCTCAGACCTTACTACAGGAGGAACCAGAAAACTTTTAATTTTTGGTATTTTATAAAGGACAGTGAAGGCTACTGGTAGCTCAGAGGTAAGTTCCTGAAAGAGAGCCCTTTTTAGTTTTCTCTCTATTGTCAGACTTGGAAGCACTGCACATATAACTACTTCTCTGTCACATGGGCTTCCTCTGACCACTGGTTTTAAGGCCTCTCAGCATCCCACCCCATCCTGGATGCCTTCCCATTGTTCTCCAGTTGAGTTTAGGGAGATCTTTTCTTCATTTTGTAACTTCTAGTTTCTCATTTAGGAATAAGAGTCCTTACTCTACCAACTTAGAACTTCTAACCTTTCTGGAAACTTCTTGAACAAATGCACATTATAAAAGAAGGGAAAAAGTTAAAAACAGTACAAACAAGCAGAGGGTGCATGTATGTTGTGGAAGAGAACCACGAAATATCACATCTAAAAGACAAATGTCAAGGTCATGGGTCTTGTTCAGGTATGTTGTACCTTCTTGGAAAGCAGCAACTGAAGCACTCAGGAACCACAAGATCTATCAGTTGATCTCTGGAGTAAAATATAGCTGTGATCCTACTGTCTGGTCTGTTAAATGTCTTTCTTCCCATCATGGAGCCAGGTTCACATTCCAAAAAAAGGAGAGATGAAAGCAATGCCATGCTAAAGACATAGGAATATTTTAATTCATATGTTTTAATTCACTATGTAACAATAATATCACAGTCTATTTTACAAGTTAAATGTATGAGAATGTATGAAATAGAAATGGTAGGAAAAAACTAAATGTGGGTCAGGAACTCGAATTTTTCCAAAACCAGGGGCCAAAGGAAGATGTGTTGCCTGCAGGGCCCAAGAAGGAGGCAGGGAGGGTGACGGGAACAGCTTGTGGTATGTGTTTGTCTCTGTGTCTACTCCAAAAAGGAGTTGAGGCATGCCCTCTGCCCTGGTCTGGGATTGGGAGTTTAATCTGGTCGGTTGAAGATGGTGGCTTGAGAGAAAAAAGCCATCTGGTTACCTACACAGAGCTGGTCCCCTGGTGGCCGCAGGTGGGTTTTGCCGTAGAGGGAATTAGGGGTGGAAGTGTCAAAAATCAAATGTATAGAGGAAAAAAGTAAACAGTTTCTTCCTTCCCCCTAAAAAAATGAATTCTTGAAATGCACACATATTCTTCTCTCAAACGTAGAAAAGTCTCACTCTGGATGTGCTTACAAGAAGATCGTCGTCAAAAAACTTTGTCTCTATGATAACATTTCCACTATAAGTAAGAAGAGAGGGCGAAAGAGTGAGCGTGTTAGACAACAGATCTCATTTCCACAAAGTGGTTTCAATCTGGGTCTGCTGGGCCTGTGGACATGCACTCACCTATAACCTTGGCTTGGGGATATTAAAATCTGTGTCCATATGGGGTTAGATGTCTAACATGACATTTAACTTATGTGACTAGGTAGGTCTTCTTCAAGTTCAGAAATCATAAGAGGGAGCATGTGTTAATCCACAGTATACCTAAGGCCCTTAGAGTGCTTTGCACACAGCGGTGCCTACAAATATGACTGACTTTCTGACTCACATGGAAACCTGCGGACGTATCTTTTCCTATAAAACTTACTCTGGTGGACAGCTGTGGGTTGGCCTGTCCTGCATCTATTCCCCTCACTTTGAGTAACAGCGCTCTGTTCTTCTCTTGGGGAACCACCCTATCTCCAGTCCATGGGTCAACCAAGTGGCTCCCCCCTTGCCTGGCAAAGGGGTGGGCACAGGATGTAATTTGGGCCAATCAGACTCTCTCCCCTGAGCAAGATCCTTCCCACAGCTGCTCCTTGAGGAAACCATCCACAGTTCCTGCCACCTGCATCTTTCGAGTTTCTCAGGTCTCAGCCCTACCCTTTCAACGCTGTCCTGTAAGCCAGAGTCAGTTTCTATGGCTTATGGCTTAAGAACCCCAAACAATACACCTGTATTGTATACAGTGTGCAATTTCATTTTTCTTGGTGGTTATCTCAGTGTTTCCAAATCAAACTACTCTTGTACTAAGTTAAAGGCAACAGTGGTACTACTCTGGGGTTCTAAAAAGTAAGACATAACTTAAATAAACTAAATATGTTATCACAGACTTAGTGGTGTTAATACCTGAAAGAAATCAGGCCTGGACAAGAATAAGTCAAATAATGGTTAATAAAATCTAAAAAAATGCCCTTCTACATATGACACTGTACTTTCCCAGGGTAATTAATATCCAGCAGATATCTTCTTGCTAGTAATTAATTATAAAATAGGTAAATAAGGAACTCAAGATCTGACTGGTTGATGGAATATAAAAATACCTACTATTATACAAATTAAAAATCTATTCAAGACTTATAAAATAAATAACCTCTATTTACAAATTCAATGTGGCTTTCATAAAGGACCTGTTTAAAGAGATGATCCAATATTGCACAATTATCTGTGTGAATAATTTGTTACTAGGCAATATTGCTAAAACTTTTAAAAGACTAAAATCTTTTCCCAAGAGAAAAATGGTAGGTAGGCAGTTATTGACTGACTTTTGGGGACAAAGGACAAACTAATTATTCTTTGAGCTGGAAGCATATCTATTAAAATTGTAAGCTAGTCTCTGAAAAACTATAACCAAATATTATCCTCTAAAACAGAATTAGGACTTTGCCAGATTCCACTGAAGGCCATTCAAACAAAGTACAGAGTAGCAGAAGTTTGATAGTAAGGAAAGGGAGCCAATTAGCATAGACTTAATATATATTATATGCCAGTTTCCTTCCATATCATCTCATTTTATCCTCACTATACCTCTGTAAGAGATAATTATTAATTCTACATTTAGAGAGGAGGAGAATAAGGCCCAGAGAGGTAAAGTACATTGTCCAAGATTACACAGCTAGTCATGGTTAATCAGGAATTTAGTCTAAAGGTTTAATCTGAAGTTTCTAATTCTTTCCATTCTATCACACTGTCTTTTTCACATGACAAACGTCAGTAAGCTGTAACTTCGGATACCACTGGATACTCTTTTACCCTTGTTCTCGACCTAGATTGCCTGCCTGTTGAACGGGACCACGAGTCCCACGTGCCTGGAATTCCTGCTTCTAGACACCTCCACAGTTCCTGCGGCCCGCTCACTCACGTTAGCACGCTGGCTGGCATCATCTGGGACTCGGGCGCTGCCTCTATCAGGGACTGCCAGGTGTTTGTGGAGTTAGGGATCACAAAGCCAAACTCGAAGAACCATTCTGAAGGAAGAAGGAAAAGCAGGTGAGCTGGCACCCTGGGCAGAGTCTCAGGGCTCCATGTCCCCATCCTTTAGGGCAAGCCTCTTCCTACCCCAGGAAGCACCACTGAAGCCATCAGAAACTTCCCAGGCCAGAGGCATAAGAAAGGACATGGAAGCCCCCTTCAGGCTGTGTCCCCTGAACCACACTAGAGGCCTGCTCCCTATGCTCTGGGATCTAAAGCACTAGGGCCAGCAATATTTTCTTAGCAGTAGGCTGGATGTAAATTATATACATCCAGGAAGTATGGAAGTACAGAACAGGCCTTTTCACTTGGAATTTCAGCTCTAAGACACATATGTACACTCTTAGACTTCACGGTAAAAACTCAATGCAGAGTGGCCTTGCCAGTCAAATCTGTACAAGACTGTATGGAGAGCACTGTACCAGGCCCTAACCAGCAGCTTCCTTGTGACCATGTTATAATACCACGCCAGTGACAAAGCAGGCACCACCCTCAGGCCCTCCAGTGTCAGTAACCCTTTTGTTGGGCTCAGAGCCCCTTGTAGTTGCCAGCTTTGTTTTTGCTTCTTTTCGCCAGGGCTCCCCAGTCTGCCAGCGTGTAGGAACCCTATCACAAACTGAGTTGCAAAATAAATGTTATCAAAGCAGTGCTTTAGTTCACTGGGTCTTGACTTCTGTCCCTGTCCAGATTTTGTCCCTAAGCCCAGATTTCAGGCATGTTGGCAGCAGAATACCTTCTAGGCATTGCCCTTTGAAGTAAACTTTTTGTTCCAGGCGGAATTTTTCCATTTGCTCTGCTGAAGAGAAGTTCAATTCTCGAGACACTGCCTTGCACTTGAGGATTTTCTTGGGAACACGGGCTGGTAAAGAAAAAGAAATATTGAAAGCATTTCTGGGAGCTTCTTAGAGATGATTTAGAGTGTATGTTATCTATGTTAAATTTCATAAAATGCCTTGGTAACAGAATTACACTTTAATTAAAGGCAGAGGTCCCAAACTGGTCCAGTGCATTTGACTGAAAGATCTTCAAGGAACAATAGATTTAGTGCATCTAAAGGCCTTACCCAGCTCCTCTTATCAGGAAAGGGGCTGAATGGGAACCTTCTTTCTATTCTGTTCCCTTGGTTTTTCTTTTATTTCAGGGAGATAAAAACACAAAGTTTCTTTCAGAAAAAAGTTGAGATCTTTGTATCTTTGGGTATGTTCTAATGCTAAAATTTCAGCACGAGGTGGGTTTTGGGAAGTAGGAGAAAGAAACATAAGAAAGAAACTAGACATCTCAGCACCACGTGGACTGACGTGCTATGCCTGCAGAGGCCCGTCCCCTGGTGGGTCTCCATTAACTCAGTTCCCTGATACCTAGCCCTGCTCTGCGTCATCAGCCCTGTGCAGACAAAGGGTGGAAAGTACCTTCATGCTCCACTCCAGGGACTGACAGGTCTTCTGTTCCTTGCCAGAGTATCTTCCCTGTCTCAGCATCCCGAAGGTTCATCCAATTTCTGATCAATATATTAAGGAAAAACAAGGCACTGAAGTGACTCCTACTTTGTACTCTAGGTGTTTCAGATTTGCTCCTATCAACTCTTGTTTATTTTTTAGTAAGTGGGCCTGACTGCTAAGTGCCAAGAAAGCAAATAAGAATGTGTAGGAGAGGGACTTCCCTGGTGGTTCAGTGGTTAAGACTTCATGTTCCCAATGCAGGGGGCCCGGGTTTGATCCCGCATGCGGCAATGAAGATCCTGCATGCCGCAGCTAAGACCTGGCACAGCCAAATAAATATTTATTTAAAATATTTATTAAAAAAAAAAGAATGTTTATTTAAAAAAAAAAAAAAGAATGTTTAGGAGAGTACAAAAGGCATTTAAAGGAAAAAGCAGAGACCCAGGGGAGATACTTTTGTCTACAACATGAGAACTCAGACTGTACACATCTAGAAATTGCAAGAAAGAGGTAGAAAATGAACAGTGCAAAATTTAAAATTTTCCAACAGAATATGACCAGCCAAGATAAAAGACCTAAAGAAACAGATATGAGAGAAATTCCAGTAAATGACTCAGGCAGATTGCCCTACAGTGAAGATCACAGTCCATAAGCTTTACTCACAAGTTCAGACCTCTCAAGTAGCTTTTTAGTGGCCTGCTCTTAAATATGAGAAGATAACCAAGGATCACTAGAAACTCAAGAAAGCATTTACTATGAAAGACAGACCAAAACAAAGAGGAAGAAAAGCAACTTAGAGGAAAAAAAAGACTACAGAGGAAGATATAAACTTTTAAAAATGAGCATTAAAAACAAACACAAAAACAACCAGCAAAACATAATCCTTACAGGGACTTCCCTGCTGGTCCGGTGGTAAAGAATCCACCTTACAATGCAGGGGACATGGGTTCGATCCCTGGTCAGGGAACTAACATTCCACATGCTGCGGGGCAACTAAGCCAGTGCACCACAACTACTGAGCTCATGCACCTCAACTAGAGAGCCCGAGTGTCACAAACTACACAGCCCGAGTGCCACAAACTACAGAGCCCACGTGCCCTGGAATCCACGTGCCACAACTACAGAGCCCATGCGCCCTGGAGCCCATGCACCACAACTAGAGAGAAGCCCGTGCACCGCAACAAAATATCCCACATGCCTCAACGAAGATCCCGTGTGCCGCAACTAAGACCCGAAGCAGCCAAAAAAAAAAAAAAAAAAAAAAACCTTAAAAAAACCATAATCCTTATAAATACTGTACTAAAAATTGTATACCATTGAATTTTGTGTATTTTAGGTGATTTTTCTTTGGCTCAAGGTTACAACTTTTGAGACTGGTCAACTGATAATCTCTTTCAGTCAGAAAATGCCTTCTAACTTACATATTTATATTTTCTTGTTTCTGTATTGCTCATCATACAATAAATGCATCAACAATACCAATTAAATAAAAAAAGTATGTTCAGAGGACAAAAAAAACTCTAGGAAAATATACATTTTGATAGCAGAACCAAACAACTCCACAAACAACTTTGGAAGACAAAGTTGAGAGATTATTTCAGAAAGAAAAAGAAAAAGACTACAAGGATAAAAAACAGGAGAGTAAAGATACAAAAACTGGACATCAGTACAAGAGGTTCAACATCTAACTAGCAGAAATTTGAGAAAGAACAGAAAACACCAAGGAGAGGAAGTCATCAAACAAATGAATTCAAGAAAAGGTCCAGCGAGGGCCCAACTCACATCATTGTGAACTTGCAGAACATCAAGGTTAAAGAGAAGCTTCCAGAGGGAAAATAAGTTGTTACGCAAAGGGTCAAAATCAGAATGAATGAGACTTTTCAACAGGGACTCTGGAGGACAGAAAAAAATGGAGCAGTGCCTTTAAAATTCTCAAGGAAATGATTCCTAAAACTAAAAAGACTTTTACTTTCGCAAGAAACAAATGGTGGGCTTCCCTGATGGTACAGTGGTTAAGAATCTGCCTGCCAATGCAGGGGACACAGGTTCGATCCCTGGTCCAGGAAGATCCCACATGCTGTGGAGTAACTAAGCCTGCGGGCCACAACTACTAGAGCCCACGCAACTAGAGCCCATGCTCCGCAACAAGAGAAGCCACCGCAATGACAAGCCTGCATACCACAACGAAGAGTAGCCCCTGCTCTCTGCAACTAGAGAAAGACCGCAAGCAGCAACAAAGACCCAAAGCAGCCAAAAAATAAATAAATAAATAATTAAAAAAAAAAAAGAAACGAATGGTAACATGCTCCTTCAAAATGACAGGGAAGACCAAGGAAGAGGATGACACTGAATCGAGGAAGGAAGGGATCTAAAACAAGAGACAGGTAAAGGGGTCCTTAGAGTGATGTTGAAGGAGACCCCAAGACAACAGCTCCTTAGCAGGCTTGGAGGGTGACTGGTCCAGGGTCCAGATAGGAGCAAGTCAGAACACTTAGGAAGAGATTTCTTTTTAAGAAGATGAAATTTGGACTTCCCGGTGGCACAGTGGTTAAGAATCCGCCTGCCAATGCAGGGGACATGGGTTCGATCCCTGGTCCAGGAAGATACACATGCCACAAAGCAACTAAGCCCGTGCGCCACAACTACTGAGCCTGCACTCTAGAGCCCGCAAGCCACAACTACTGAGCCCGCGTTGCTGCAACTACTGAAGCCTGCACGCCTAGAGCCCGTGCTCTGCAACAAGAGAAGCCACTGCAATGAGAAGCCGCGCACTGCAACGAAGAGTAGCCCCCACTCGCCGCAACTAGAGAAAGCCTGTGCGCAGCAACGAAGACCCAGTGCAGCCAAAAAACCCAAAAAATTAAAAGGTGAAATTTTAAAAAAAAGATGAAATTCATAGAATATCTAATGTGTTTATATGGAAAGAGGATTTATTCAGTTAGGGGAGATTTGGGGGTCACATCAGTGAGAAGTATAGAAAATTGAAGCAAATGAATTAAAAAACCAAGACAATTATTAACATCAGGGAAAAATCAAAGGTGGTACTGGGAGAAAGTAGTAGTTACATTATACTACATGGCTTCATTGCAAACAGTGTTGATGTAATGATAATAAAAACACAGGCTATGGATCCAATACAATTATCCTGGGAGGATGGGGGAAGGAGAAGAGAGTGCATGTGTGATTAAGCATAAAGTATTGAGAAAGAACAAAACTCATTTCCATCGTGGGAAGTTGATAAATAATGCCCAAAACGGAAACATTAAGACATAACCACAGTGTGCTATTTAGAAATATCAAGATTAATACCAAATAAATCAGCTAGAAAGAATTGAAAATAGTTTTCTCTGGGGAGTAGAAAATAGGAATGGGAGCACATGGAATGCTGTTCTTCATTAGAAACTGGGTAGAACTATGACTCTAAATGATGTACACATACAACTTTGATAAAGACTGAATTTAAAAAGATAGTCCCAAGTTATTTTGTCTTTGTTTTTAAAAACAATGAACAAATCATTAAAGGAAAATGAAATTAATATTCTCCATGCATGCTGGCTGAGCCTGAGAAAGATGGTTAACATCTGTGAAGACACTGAGCTTCAGATAGATACAGTTTACATGCCTTATTTTTTTTTTTGCTGTCTAGCAACCAAACCTTCTTCCCAACCAGCACCCTGCAGCCTCCTTTCCCCCATGGAAGGCAGTGACTGCTTTGCACTACAGCAACTAGAAGATCCAGATCCTTCTCTCCTGGTCATGGTGCAGCTGGGGGCAAGCACGTGACCTAGGCTTGGACACCTGGGGCCCTGAAGCTGTAGTCACACAAGGATTTGAGGAAAAGTCAGCATTTCTTCAGGGTGGGGCAGCAGGTAGTGCCAACCCCACCTTTTCTGCAGTGTTTCCCCTGTTCCTCCAACTGCAGTCAGTTCTGAAAGCGCCAGAGAGCCTTTGAGGGCCTTTCTCACTGTTTGGTAGCTTGCAGTGAAGAACCCTGAACAACACAGTTGATTAGCATCATTACGTACTTAATGGTGCTACATTTAACCCTCTGGAGAGATTCTTTCTAAGTTTTGCTGCTATATAAAAAAAAGTCACAAAAGAGAACCAAGGGTTATCTAGTAGTGTGCCTTGAACGTGATGGGTACCCTAAGCTTCCTATGCCCTTGGTCTGCTTGTGCACTGTCCCCCGGCATGAACCCACCATTGCTTTGAAGTTGTGTTGGTTGTGCTACTCTCCTCTCCGTGTGTATAATCCTAATAAACCCTCCTTGTATGCTCACTGTATTGCTGAATACTGCTGCTCTGCTGTACCTACGTGGTTTTCTCTCCTCTGTTTCATATTTCCACACTCCACTTTTTTTTAACAACTAAATCCAAAAGCAAGTCAAAAGTATCCATACTTGCTTAGGCCATGTCCTACAATTCTAATTACTACACATATTCTTTTTTTTTTTTTTTTTTTAACACATATTCTTACCCATTCTAGAGTCTCCATATATTAAGAGACAGCTTCCCCAACTGGAGAAATAAAACAACAGATACTATGCTCTAGCAAGTCCACGCTGAGCGCTGATCTAAACAGAACTGCCTTAGACACTTAAGCCCAAGGTTTTCAGAAGACACAGTACTTATTCAACCTGCTGTGTACACGTTTTTTATCCTTTTTCTACAGATAGTCTCTTATGTACAAATACAGCCACACTGGACACCAAACTTTCTTAAATTAAATAACAGAACTAAAATTACTTCTAAAGTTCCAGGCTCACATGCAAGTAGGACATTCCAGCAAAACTACTGCAAGAAAAGCCTTGGGGAAGGGGTTCTCCCCACAAAGCAACAGATGGATCAGACCTAGTAGCTTCTAGAAAAAGAATTACTACCCCTGGCCCAAGTCAGCAAGGAAAAGCCTGGGACCAGGACTTACTCTTCCGTCTGTTAGGGGATGAAAAGAAAACAGCCTTAAATTAGAGCATCCTCTCTGATAATTAGTGGACAGTGAATTTAAGTTTCCTCCATTTTATAACAAGGGAGAGAGGCTGCTAAAAACACATGGTTTGTC